CCGTCCCGCTCCCCCCGGCTCGCCCGGCCGCTCCCCCGCATGGGGGGCACCAGCCCCAGGACTCCTGCAGCAGCCCGGCTCACACCGATGCCAGAGGCACTGCTGGGTGTAGGGACATGCCGTCCCGCACGGTCACGCTGGTACCGTGCACCAGTGACCCGCACTGCCCCGAACCAGCGCGGTGCAGACCGACCTGGGTAGGGTTTCAGAGCTGGCTGCCTCCCCTGCACCCCGGGAGCAGCTCCCCGAGGCCCTGGGCACGTGGGAAGCTGCCCTGGCTCCCCCCAAGACCCCCCACCAGCTCCAGCACACCACACAGAAGGCACTGTCAGGGGGGATTTTTCTGCCAAGCAATGAGCGACCCTACAGACGGGAAGGATGGAAGAAGCAAACCAAAGACAACTCGTGCTGCTTTAATGCCAAGAAGGGCGAGGATGGATGTTAGGGGAAGAGATGCTGCGCTGGGAGGGAAGGGGACACCGCTGGGGACAGGGCACATGAGGATGTAAGCAGCGTGAGGCTTGCAGCCAGCTCTGCCTACCTGCTGGTCCAAATACTCTAGGTTTCTTTGCAACTGAAGGTCTAAAAGTTCATCCTACCAGGAGCCAGCAGGCATGCGGCAAGAAACGAACACACAAAACATATAAAAGAAGAAGCAAAGCGGTTAGGTGAAGGCTACGGAAATGCGAAGACCTCTTGGCCGGGGAAGCGAGGCACTTCCCTGGCACACAGCCGGGAGAGCTGCCGTGGCTGTGCCCTGTGGGAGACCCGCTCTCCTCCCGGCTCTCCCTCCCGGCTAATGGTGCCTCGGAAGAGGCACGGCCCTTTCCCTGCGTCTCCGGCTAGCGAGGATGGATGGCAGCATGGGTAGCTTATGGTAACTCGTGCTTCTCCCTCCTCCAATGACCGGTCCTGCCCTGTGGTTTTGGGACCGCACTCTGTGGGGGGACTTCCCACCTGCCCTGTGGTTTTGGGACCGCACTCTGCGGGGGGACTTCCCGGTCTCACCCCGCCAGCTCCAACCCCTCAGCGCTCCGAGGGGAAACACAACGCAGGAAAAAGCAGCAGCTGTAGCCAGAGGTGAGGAAGCAAGAGGGGGAGAGGTGCAGGGTGTTTGCCAGCCTCAGCCCCGTCCTTGCCGGGGACCGCCCTGGGGGTGACGAGCCCAGCCCAGCATCGCAGGGCGTACGGGGGTCCAAGGGTGTCCCACTGCCCCCGCGACCTGGGGCCTGCAGGGCAGGGACCGGGGTCCTTTCCGCAAGGATTTCCTTCGGGCACAGCCAGGAGGGACCAGAGACACCAATAAAAGGACCTGTGGTCCCGACCTGCCCCAGAGCAGCCCAGCTCTGACCCAAAAAGCTGGAGCGGAGTGGTTCCTCCTCGGCTGTCTGAGCAAGGAGCCCCCGAGCTGGCCCACCTGCCTGGGGGCTCTGCACACCCCGGTCCGCCAGCAGCGTACGTACCATTTTATCATGGACGGTGGGGGATGCCGGGTAGTGGTACGGATACATTCCTGCAGGGACGGGCCGTCTGTCACCCAGATAGTCATACTGAGAAGAGAGGAGACCCCCCCCACCCCAAAACCAGAGACACGTGAGAGGTGTGTGAGAGGCCAGAAAGCACGTGCAAGGGCAGACCCCGGCCCCGCAGCAGGGTCAGGCCTGGCTTCGGGGCACGCAGCAGCGAGACAGGGACACCAGTGCTCCCTGCTCCGGAGCACATCACTTGTGGTGACCCTGAGCACCCCCAGGCTCCCATCCCATCCCCTCCTGCCCCATCTCTCCAGGCTTGCAGCAGCGCAGGAGCAGCCAGGAGGGAACAACCGCAACCTGGGCAGCTTTGCAGGATGGCAAGGAGGGACCTAAAGCCATCAGCTGCTGCAAGCCACAGCCTTGGTGGCATTTTGAGGCCAGGCTGTGCATGCAGAGGTGACAAGCCGTGCCGCAGCATCCCTGCCCTGACGTCCCCAGTGAGAGTCCCCCTCCAACCCTGTGTGCCCCAAGCTGCCGATGAGCATTTACCTTTGGAGAACTGATGGATCGCCTCATCATGAAGGTGGTGGGGTCGGCATAAATCACATTCATTTACCTTTGGAGAACTGATGGATCGCCTCATCATGAAGGTGGTGGGGCATAAATCTCCTCTCCCCGGGGTGGCAGCCGCTCGAAGCGGGCGCTGGGCGAGCGGACCGGGGAGTACACCCGTGCCCGGCTGTAGGAACCCTGGCTGGGCGAGCGGGGCACGGAGCGGGAGCGGGGCTGCAGTGACATCCGTCGCAGAGAGCCCGAGGCTGCATCCACCTCATCCAAGTAGGTCGGCTGCCTCCCAGGACCGGGCAGCCAGAGCGGGACGTCTTGCCGGCCGAAACCAGGGTGCTCCTTCCAGTCGCGGAGCTGATAGGTGCCCCCATTGCGGAAGGAGTGCCGCTTGTCCTCCAGCACCCAGGGCGGGCTCACCCGCTCGTAGGAGGGCATGGAGCAGATGCTGTCGGGGCGCACCCCAGGTGGGTAGTACTGGTAGTCCTCGGGGTACTGGGGTGAGTAGGGGGAATAGTAGTCGGGCACCCGGCGAGACACGGGGTAAAACCTGGTGGGGCTGGAGGCGGGAAGAGAGCCGTGAGAGCCGGGCTGGCAGCCAGGCGGTGCCCGGCCCGTCGCTCCACAGCTGGGGGTCCCGGTGGGCAAGGACAGTCTTAGAGCAGGCAGCTCCAACACCAGCATCCAGAAAGCTGGCTGGCTGGCATCTCTCCTCCCAGGGGCTTCATGGTGGCCTCCCCTCCTGGCAGCCCTCCTCCCAGGGACCCCGCGGTGGCCTCCCCTCCAAAATTCACCCTGATCAGCTTTTCGGGGTGTCCCACGCACAGCTCAGAGCTGGCACATGGGGACAGCCCAGCAAGGAGATTTTCTGACCCTGGGAGGGGAGAAAGCAGATGGGAAGGAGAAAAACATTCCCAGAGCATCACCTGAGGGGCAGCCCTGGAGAAAAGGAGCAGGAGCCCCCTCTGCCCCTGGCCAGCCCCCCGCAGCCCTCACCTCCGCAGCTCCTCCGGGGCCCGCGCCCCCC